TGTGTGTGTGTGTGTGTGTGTGTGTGTGTGTGTGTGTGTGTGTGTGTTGGGGTTGCAGGAAAGCATAACACAGAGTATGTGCTCAGTAGGCCCCTCCCCCAATCTTGTCTACTGAATGTTCACTATCTTCTTGGCCCCTGTCCTGGTAATACTCCCAGGGTGGGAGTCTGGCCTAGGACATTTCTATGTCCCACACACCAGCCTGCCTTACATGTGCAAGTCACAGACGGACTGCTTTTGGCTGTCCCCTTGTTTCTTTCAAAGTCCTGCCTTTTACTTTATCTCAGGCAGGGCATCTGCAACAGCGGGAGCTGCAATCAGGCAGGAGGTGTCCTGGCAGACCTCCCAGAGCAGCTGTAAATAATAAATAAATTCCAAAGAGGGCATGGGGGAAGGGCTTGCAGAGTAGGGTCGGAGAACAGCATTCCTCCGCCAGGCAGCGAGGCTGGCCTGTGCAGGGCCAGATGCACAGAAGATTCCAGACCCAGTCTTGTACCAGATCAGGTACCCAGATGCCCCGAGGCTGACATCTGCATTGGATCTACTCACGGCCTGTTTGTCATTTATTCATCCCATGAACACGTTGGGAGTCCACACTGTGTGCAGGCGGCAGAGGGCCAGGTCTGTGCAAGCCCGGGCTAGGCTTTTCAGCATCCACATTGATGGCTGCATCGCTGATACAGGATGCTACCTTGAGTGACGGTGGGTAGGTTGAACTCTGTTGGGCCAACGTCCATCTTTCCTGGGAGCTAAGGGACAGTGGAGAGGCTGTGCAAGGGGCCCTGTATCCAAGCACTGTGGAGCCTCTACACATATCTGACCATATTCTGTACATCTGTCCCCTAGACCAAGATGGAAGCTTGCAATTCCTCGTGTCCTCTGGCTGCGAGTGCCTTTTACCCTAGAGACCATACTACTACCTTCTGTACCCACAATGCCGCTGTGGGGGATGTCTTCCATGTCTAGAGGCTCACATAATCCCTTTTATGACTGCAGCCAATGGATGCTGGGGTTGGGTTTTATGGGACCCTGCCCTCTCATCTCCTTTGGGGTCCATCTGTGTCTCTGTCTATTATTTCATTCTGTGCTTGGGATCTTCCTTCTAGTCCCTGATCTGAGTTGGGTACAAGAAGGCTGCTGTTGGCCATTGGGGACACATATGTCATTTTGAATCTTTTTGCTTCTGTGTGCTGGCCTTGTCTTGCATGCAGTAGGCACTCAATAGATGTTCATTATAAGAAAAAAAAGTGGGGCTAGATAGATAGCTCACTTGGTAAAGTACTTGCTATATAATCATGAGGACCCAAGACTGATCCCCAAACCAATGTAAGAAGCCAGTCACGGTGGCAGGAGTTTTTAATATCAACACTGGGGAGATGACAAGTAGATCCCTTTAGCTTACTGACATCCAGTTTAGCTTAAGCTGTGAGCTCCAGGCTCAGGTAGAGACCTTGTGTTAGTTGCCTTTCTTGCTGCTGTGACAAAATGCCTGGCAGAAACAACTTGGGGAAGGAAGGCTTTATTCTGGCTTACAGCCACAGGGTACAGCATATCACAGTGAGGAAAGTCATGATGGCTGTGATTGAAACAACAGGTCACATGGCATCCACTGTCAGGAAGCAGAGGGAGGTGGATGCCAGCGCTCAGCTCCCTTTCTCCTTTATATCCAGTCTGAGACCCAAGCCCGTGGAACGGTACTACCCCTGGAAAGGTACTATCCATACTGAAGGTGGGCCTTCACATCCAAATTAACCTAACCTAGAGAGTCTCTCCAAGATCTGCCGAGAGGCTTGCTCCTGGGTGCCTGTAGAGCCTGTTGGACTGACAATATTAAATACCACAGACCTTATCCCCCAAACCGAGATGTTCTCCAAAAACATCTCTTGAGGAATGACACCAGAGGTTGACTTTTGGCTTTCGTAATTGCATGTGTGCAGACACGCACACGTACATACACACATGTACACACACACACACACACAGGAACATATACACACACTGTACAAAGTTCTTTCACCTTTTCTGGTAGCGAAGAAAAGATTGACCATGTTGTCTTTCTCATAGTTCAGTGATGTTAAACTGAAGGGATTATGTATCTTTCTGTGCCTCAGTTACTCGTGACAAGAAGCAGCACAGGCTGTAGATAGTACTGAAGTTGGACATGCCCTCCTCATGGCAAGGTGGGTGTCAAGTACCAGAATGGCACTAGGGTGTGAAACAGAGTGCTGGAGCCCCTGAGCAATGGTCTCTGGAGCTCTGGGCTCTGGG